ATCTAAGCCTTTCGCCAGGCTTTGCAAGCGGAGCTATCGCAGCTGCCAGCGGAGACTCCAGCTCATCGGCGCTGGGTGTGGGAGCAAGGGGCAGCAGTAGGCTCTCTGTCGGCATCCTCGCTGCCCACACGTAGCTCAGCACCCGCTCCCCTGCCCCCCAGCGCTTCCCAAAGGGTGGGTGCTGGGCGTGCTGGCGGCGGGGGTTATCCCACTGCTGGAGGAACTCCTCCCACTGCTTGCTGCTCTTTGCTATGTTAAGAACCGGCTGTATTTTAAGTGACTGTAAATAGGAATTGCTGTGGAAGAGCTGAGAGATGGAGGTGGCACTGGCAAGAGAGAGAAATCAAAATAAATGAAAACGCAGGAGCGTGCGTCACCTCTGCAGTTGCTCCTGCAGCCAGACAGCATCCGTGGGGCAGACTCCTCCAGAAGCGGGTAAGAGCCGCAGACAGGGCTCTGAGCTGGTGTCTGCGAGCCGAGAGATCAGAGAAAATCAGCTTGTTTACCTGCTTGTGGAGCAGACGGGCTCGTGACGACTATTTCCTGGGTTTTGATCTTGGTCTCTGCCAGTTTTGGGATGGTTTTGGCCACACGAGGTATGATTTTGTGTCTTTGGCAGATTCAACGCTCAAGTCATCCCAGATAAGCAGCCCAGAGGTTCTCTGCATTAACCACGAAAGCTGCCGTGTCCTGGCTGGGACCTCTGCCACGACAAACCAGAATAAATATGAACTCATTCTCCCCATGCCTGCCCTGCGGTTCAGGAAACAGCAGACCCCACCGTGCCCACGGGCTGTGGGCATTTATTGCTGCCGTCACCACCTGCAGCCCCCTTTCCCTCTCCGGGCAAACACATCACTCCAAACCACCCGCGGGGTTTTGCATTTCGCTTCCTGTCTGCTGTCTGCTGTGGATTGTGTAACCCAGCCCCCAGACTCCCCACCTCTAACGAAGCTGTTTTACAACACTGCAGCCCAACTCCAAGCCGCAAACACGCCACACAAGAAAGCAAACAACCAGAGCAGATGGGCCCCCGTCCCGCCTGGGGCGCTGGAATCAAAAGCACTTTTTCCTCTGCTTTACTAAAACATGAAATGAAAAAGAAAATAACCTGGTGAAGTGTTCCTGCTCTGCCCCACCTCTCGGATGCCTGCAACCCAGGCTGTGCCCTCCTTGTCTGACCTGTTTGCAGATCCTACAGACAGCAGCGACACACCGACAGCAGCGCCACAAAAAATCAGGGGTTTCATTAGCATCTCCCCGGTCTCTCTGCCAACCCCTCAATTTGGACACGATTCCACCAGGATACAGGAAGACAATGTCAAAAAGAAGTGGTACAGTCACCCCCGGTACCCAATAACGGCCGTTACCAGAAATCTTAATAGGGCACAAATAGTTCCTGTCTGCAGCTGGCTGCGGTCATACAGTGATATGGCCATAAAATAATATCTGATGTTGGAAACCTTAAAAAAAAATTGAATCTATGACTTTTAAACCCACAAACCAGCATCAGCCAAGGGCCCTAATTGTCCTGAGCCTTAGAAATATCCTTTACTCTTCCTATGTCCGACAATGGGTGCAGAGGGAAGGATTTTCCTTTTAACTGTTCCAAACTCTTCTTATAAGGAAACCTTTTCCAAGTGAGTCATGCTGCACAGGCTTTTAAACGCAGCGCGATGGAGCTGGCGTTTTTCCATGTTTACACAGCTAAGGAATGCGAGGGTGCTTCAGAGACAAGATACGTGGGCTTCAAAACATGGAAATGCCAGCGCTTTGGTGTTTCATCTTCAGCTGCAAGGGTTGGCTGATGGATGTCAAACCCGCCAGAGCATGGCAGGAAAGCAAAGAGAGAGGCTGTAATGGAGCAACTGGGCGCCAAGCCAGAGGCGTTGAGATGATTTTGCATAATTGCACAGGAGACTTTGATGACTTTTTTAACTGTTCATATAAAGGTCTCGAGTTTTCATCTTACAGGCAGTTCTTTCAAGCTCCCACCCCAGATTAATGAGCTTTTATCTGTTACTCAAAGAAATTAATTAAAAAGGAGTAAACAACACAACAAAACACGCTCCAAAAGCCAGCCACACGGGGCTCAGGATTCTTGCCCATGGCAGGGATCCCAGGGACAGAATTTCCCCAGGAAAGCTCAGCTGCACTCTGACACAAGGCATGGGGAGAGGCTGGGAGCTTGAAGCCAGCTTTTCCCTCTTCCTCCCCCTGGCTGTGTGCCTTCCTGACAAAGTGGGCACCAGCTACCTGGTAAGATTTCAAGAACAAACTGTTTAAACGTATGGGTGAGACAAGATTAGATTTTCACCTGTTCCCAAGGTTGTGTTTATACAGTCGCTGCATACTTAGAAAAAAACGAATCCAAGGAACAGAGTATACTTTAGGAAATCAAACTGTGGCTTACGTGAGGCTGAGGCATCCTCCTCTTCTTCCAGAGGCTCACTCACTGAGATGGCCCAGTCCAAGAGGTTAGTAAGGCCCGGCTTTAAGCAGTTGAAATTATTGGGCTTCTTCCATGCTCAATAATAAGCACGACTGCACGGCTGAATCCACCCCTGGAGCAGGGGCCAGAGGGACCGGCCTCTTGTCCCACTCTGTCCGTCACCCCTCCCTCTCCTCACTGATGGTTTATCGCCTTCTGTCAGGGGCCTCACCCCTCCCTCTCCTCACTGATGGTTTACCACCTTCTGTTGGGGGCTACAAATCAAACTTCCCTTTGAAGGAGAGGTTGAAATGGGGCAACATTCAGCGAAAGTGTGACACCTATAGTCTTGTGTCTTCCGAGTTTATCAGGGGGTGGGGGGATTACAGTGAGCTGACCTCAGCCCTCATTGCTGTTGTGCTGCTTCTGCCTCCTCCGCCAGAACCGAGATGCTCTGATTGCCTGCCTCACAGAGCAGCTCCAGGAGGTGAAGGCCAGAACGAACATGGAGAGCCGCTACAGGAAGGAAAGCACAGACCTGCAGGTCCACCAAACCCAGAAGAAATGCAGCAATGCAGAGAGTGACCTGGACGAGGAACTTCAGGTAACCCCTTCCCCACAGCCCCTGCTGGGAGGTCAGGAGAGAGTCCTCCCTCTGGCCCCAGGTGCCTCTTCTGTTCTCCATCACAGTCACCAACACAACTGTTTGAACTGGATCAGGAAACTCACCCAGTTTGAAATCCTTCTCTCTTCCACTGCTTCCCTGCATGGTCCTGCAAACAGCAACAGCAGGGGACAGCGGCTGGAGGCAGGGACAGCTTAAGGTAGTGCCACGGTCAGAGAAACAGCCCCCAGCGCTGTCCAAAGCCGTGCTTCAAGGCTGTTTGGGAACACGAGCATCCCGAGCTCCTGGCGTTGCCCACAGCACATTACCCTGACAGAGCTGTTCATGCAGCCAGAAGGTGAACTGGACTACCAAACGGTTCCGGTTTTTGCTAGATTTTTTTTTTTTTTTTTGACTGGTCAAGGTCTGCTCTAGTTGTCCCTTTTCACAGATGGCCCAGGGCAATGACTGCCTCGGTTAATTCTGTCACTGGGAAAAGCGGCTGTGGGCACACAGAGAGCTCCTGCACCCGCTCACCGGCTCGGCTCTCAGCAGTGTGTGCACACACACATCTGCACTAACGTTGTCTCTCACGTTTTCTGTCTGCACTGATCACAGAAGTTAAGAAGCAAAACTGATGAGGAGATTCGAGTCCACACAGAGATTGAAAATTTCCTCAGGCGACAGCAGCAGGTACGTGGGACTTTCTGCTAATGCTTAACATCGTATCACCAATTACTGCCTAAAGAACCCCGATTATTGCTCCATCACTTACCTGGTTCACGATGTCTGCTGCCTGAATGGCTGCTTACCCTCAAGTCTTAATTAGCCTACCTCTCCCAGATCTGGGATTTGCTACATTTGGATACTTCTCCTTAAAATTAGAGTTCATGTAATCACTCACTGTTTACTCAGGTGTTACCGATTTTGCCTAATCTTAATCTGAGGAAGAACCAGGGTTGGCTAATGGCTCAGAGTTACTGAACCCATTTTCAGCACCAACCACCATGAAAGCCCGTGTGCTGTTGACCCAGAGGCTCAGAACTTTCCCATCATCAACAGCAGCACCCATTCCGGTGCATAACACTGGAAAGCATCTCAGAAACTGTTACAATAGAAAGAAAACCAGTCCTGCTGCAGGGCACCTGACAGCACTGCCAGTGCAGAATTTCATAGATAATCAATTTTTTAAAATGTAATTTGAGTGCAAAAAAGTGCTGTATCCTGTGAGCAATTAAATAGTGTCCTCCATGTCCCAGAACCCAAATGTCATCAACATTTCAGAGCAAGGGGACCTTCCACGTACCCGCTGCAGCCCGTGTGGCCTCTCCCAGCCTGCAGAGCACACGTCCCTGGGTACCCGGACAGCAGCTGGTGGCTCTGCAGGGACCCCCAGAGCTGAGGATGACCGTGCCCTCCATCTCCCGTGTGTGTCCAGCTGTTACGCTGTAATGAGATTGATGCTTTTCCTCAGATTATTTTTCCGTGCAAGCAATCGTGGTTGTTGCTATGGAGAAGTGACGGGTGAATGGGAGGAAGTCATCTGGGGGACAGTTCCAGCCACACCTGCCCTGCTGTTCACCAGGGAGACAAAGCCACGGTCACAACCTGAAACAGCGTCAAGTGCTGTCCCCTGCGACCTTATTCCTGGTGCGCTGAGTTTAATTCAGAAAGTGGGCAGGGAGTCAGAGGATAAAAGCTCTCTCACTGTCAAATTCTGTTTCTTAAACCCCGCTTGTTGTCATTGACTTCACCAGCACTGACCGTGCACAAAACTAACCCCCAGTGCTTCTCCCTTCCTCATGCCCCTCTGAAAGCCCAACCCAGCCTCTCTCCATCCCCAGTCCAGTGCTGTGCCTTCCATGAACCCACCAGTAATTATCACTAGTCCCAGGGGTTTGATCCTTTCAAGGCTTAGACAAGAAGGAAACACCAACCACGCAAAATTTATGGGACTCTTCCCAGCATCCTGAAAGCAGGGCAGGTAACAGCAGCAAACCGTTCCCCTGTACGCTCTTTGTACCGTGCTGAGCACCACTCTGTCCCCATGCAGCAGGTGGAAGAGAAGCTGGAGTATTGGATGGACAAGTATGAAAATGACACAAACGCTAAAGACGAAGAACTGGATGCCCTAAAAGCATCAAAGGCAAACAACTTGGAAATGCTGCAGAGTCTTGCTGAGGAGGTAAGCCATCAGCAGCATCTCAGTGCTCAGCCATGCAAAACTGCATCCTGGCTTGTTCCTACCCTCTGGCAGATAAGGAACCAGGACTATAGGAAAAAAAAAAAAATCTGTAATCTTGAGGTGTAGGGTGGGATTACGAGGACTGGTCCTGGGAGGGCAGGGACTGAGCAGTCATCTGTTTGACATCAAGGAGGGACGATGACGTTTCTCCTTCAGCTATTTTCAAATACCAGCAAGTAATCAGAAAGCTAGTGACAGCCCACGTGAGGGGTGAAAACACTGTCCCATCCCATCAACGTGCCTCACCTTAGCTTGTTGCCTTAGTCTGAACAAACCTGCTCCTTCTAGCGGCACCCCGGTAAGACAGGCAGCTCCTCCCTGCCGCAGACACGCTCTCGGCTGCACGGCGCTCTGTTATGGGGGAGCTGATTCCAGTTAAAACCATTCCTGCCCCACACTGGCTTCTTGGGCAACTGCCAGGCTCCGATCAGAGCTATGCAGGCACAGCGGAGCAGGCAGCCCAGGACAGAGGGAAGTGTCTGGAAAAAGGGGTGTTTTAAAGCCATAAGGAATTAACTTGTAATCGTCCCTGTCACTGGGGCTGCGATGATGGGACCGAGACGATTCCCTGCCTGTGGGCTCATTTTTCACTCCGTACACTGTCATCTCAGTGTCCCAAGTGTGTTTGTGCATCATCTGCTGCCTCGCCCGGGGGAGCAGGGCTCCTTCCCAACACCATCTGTTGCTGAGACGCCATCAGACAGCCCCTTGGCAGCGCGGGAGCAGGGGGTTAATTACACCCGCGCTGGGAGGGGGTTCTCTTTGTAGGACTGATGGTGGTGATGAGCAACATTTGCCATCTGGATCCAGGAAAGATCAAATAAAGGAGGTGGGGGAGGAAGGTCCAGGCTCACACGTTGCCCTTGGGCTGCCAAGGAGCTCCCTGGAGCGGAGTGGGGACCCGTACGGTGACCCCCGGGGCAGAGCAGCCCCGAAAACAGGCAGTGGGGGGGAGAGCAGCGGGCAGCCAGAGGAGAGGACTCCTGGCCCAGGGGAGCGCTGCCCTGGGAAGCTGCTGGGCAGAGGGAGCGTGGAAGGCTGGCGCTATGGTTTAGGGGATGTGCTCCTCACGCGGCTGGTGCCACCCCTGTGCTATCCTGCAGTGCCGGATGTTCGAGGAAACCATCATCAGTGACCGGGCAGAAAGGAAAGCTAAAAGAACACAACGAGAGCAGGATGCCCTGGAGCTGATGAGCATCCTGAAGGTAAAGGGGAGATGCAAAGGGCAGACACAAAGCCAGCAGCTAGCTGCAGGCTGGAGAAGGGAGCGGAAGGGGAGAAGCCCATCTCCTCCGATGATTTGGGGCTGTGCCCATCACATCATCCCCACTGCATGGGGCCACGGGGCAGGTCCCCTGCTTGGCCCCTTGCCACCAGCAACAGGTGCCCTTGGCCCAGATGTGGATGCCTTCAGCATAACCAGCACATGCCCAACTGCTGCTGCGGGGCCAGGGGATCTCCCGCACAGGAGAGCCGCGCTGGCCGGGGGCTGCAGCAGGTACCCCAGCAGTGCTTTCCCCTAACGCCTCTTGTCTCTCTCGCTTCCAGCTGCAGGCCTGGTGGAGAGGCACAATGGTCCGCAGAAACCTCGGCCCCTACCAGGCCCTCAGGAAGATGCAGGAGAAACAGCAATCGAAGCAGAAAGATGCAGGGAAGAAGGACAAATCTGCAGCAAAGAAAAAGGCACGATAAGTAAAGCAAGCCGGCCACAGACGTGCTCCAGGGCTGCTGCTAGGCTGGGCACTGCGGTCTGATGGACAAAATAAACCATGGAACAGAGCTCGGGCTATTCTGGAGAACACGGTCCACAACAGGCGGTTAGGGTGAAGCTGCAGTTAACTCTTAAGATCTTGAAGCTGCTGTTGTGCAGCAGAGCCACTGTTTCTCCAGTACAAGGGGAACTGTATCAAAAGCTGTCTCTCCCAAAGTGCTTTATAGGAACATGACGGCTGGCGGGAGGTAATCCCGTCAACAGCCCCGTAACTCACCTGCACAGGACACTGCCCCGAGAGCCTCCCGTGCAGCCCCCAAAGCTCTGGCCGTGGCTGAAGCACTGGTGTTTGCTGTGGTTCCCAGTAAGGCAGGGCGGCCAAGGCACCCGCATCCGGGTCGGGCAGCGCTCCCTGCTGCCAGTGCCGGCATCGGGTCAGGGGAAAACTGCCGAGGGTTTGCAGTGTAAACACAAGGGCAGCCAAAGCACGCAGGTTTCCATTCCCACAGTCCTGCAAAATGTCAGCACACAGAATAGCTTCAAATACCTTCCAACCGAGGGCAGCAACAACGGAAAAAGACAGTCGGCTGCGCTGCCTCCCGGAGCCG